CTGTCATGTAACTGCGGCATATGCTGCCAAGAGTTTGTCGTGTGGCTGGCTGTCGGCACCGACGCCAGCCACATCCACGACAACGCGTTGTCTCGTGCCAGCACATTTGCATTGTGGTCGTAGTGCCCCCCGCTCCCAACACGCAGCGCCTTTCGGTTCTCAATGCACTGCACGGTGATGGGGTTGACTTTTGACTCTGCAGGATTACAGTAGGTTGACTTTTGACTGAATTTTTTTTTTCGTCTTATGTATCAGACTAGAAAAATGTTTTCAGCTTATAATGCAGACCATGAAAATTTCGTCGTCCGAGCATAAGACGGGGGAAAAATTTTCCAGGCTACTGTCAGACAGCCCCAAAACCTAGCGAGAGCCCTGAATCGACCCCTGACGCAGCAAATCAATCCCCGAACACTCGGAATTCACCCCTGGACCAGGCCCTCAGATTCGTTTTTGGGGTGTCTGATTCAGGCCCTCATATTCGTTTTTGGGGTGTCTCATTCGACAGACTTGGTACACATATTTTGTCTGATCAATCAGACTTGGTACAAAAAATAAATCTGAAATTTCAGAGTTCAATCGTATAAAAGTCTGATAGCGAAAGTTCACATCAGTAATGAAGCTGATGGATCAGCCTAAAACGGGGAATCACCTCGCCGCAGCGCTGCTGTCACTGGTTCAGCGTGACTGACACGACAATTTTGTACTTCTAGCGCTAATTGCGGCTGTCAGGTCAGAGTAGATACCCGATAAAACGCTCTTGGGATCAGAGTACTGTTGAAATATATTTCTTATATAAACTGCTTGTAGCAGTAGTTAGTGTAGTGTTACATTGGTGGTGCACCTCATTCCCTTGTCCCTTGCACTATATCTTGTACCTTTGCTCATTAATGAACACCTTTCTCCTTTGCTTGAGCTTTCTCTCCTTCACCTAGCCTAAACCCTAGGCTAGTGGCTCTAGCCATATCTACTATTCTAACTCTGCTATCAGAGCGAGGTTTCTCCTAGGACCTGTCTCATAGGGCCCACCACTACGCTTCCGCTCATGGGCCTCTCTGCTGCCCGTCGCGCGCCTGGGGCGCGCGTCGGTTTTCTGCCCGCCGCGCGCCCCGGGCGCGCGTCGATTTTCTGCTCGTCGCGCGCCCCGGGCGTGCGGCGATTTCGTCCCCGTCGCGCACCCCGGACGCGCGACTGTTTCCTGCCCGTCGCGCGCCCCGTGCATGCGACGGTTCTCTGCCCGTCGCGCGCCCCGGGCGTGCGACGGTTTCTGTCCGTCGCGCGCCCCGGGCGTGCGACGGTTTCTGCCCGTCGCGCGCCCTGGACGTGCGACGGGTTCTGCCCGCCAGCGCTCCCTGCTGTCGCCCGCGCACCTCCTACCCCGCCCCCCCCCCCCCCCTTCCCATTCATCTTCCTGCTGCACTTGCGGCAGTGGGGGGGAGGGTATGGGGGTGGCGGGTGTGAGTGATTTTCTGCCGCCCCTCCTCCTCTCTCTCCCACTGCCGCACTTGCTGCTCGGGGTTGGGGGGGAGGGTGTGGGGGAAACGGGGGGGTGTGTGGGAGCCGAGGGAGTGGTGGTAGAGATGCTGAGGGGGATGTGAGAATGGGGTTGGGGGCAATGGGGGGAGGTTGAACGGAGGAAGCTGTTGTGGAGCCAGCAGCGCCAGTAGTCCGGATGCCCTTGCTCCGGTAGCCAGCGAGCCCGTTGCGCCAGTCGCCCGTGGGTCCGTTGCTCCAGCCGCTCGTCTTAGCCGCGGAGCCAGTTACTCCAGTAGTCCGGGGCCCTTGCTCCGGTAGCCTGTGTGCCAGTTGCTCCAGTCGCCCGTGTGCCAGCAGCTTCAGCCGCCGCCTCCAATCTCCTCTCCTCTCATAGTCCCTCCTCCTCCTCCTCCTCCTCCTCACTTGCCATCTCCTTCTGCTGCGCTTGGTGTACCCCTTCAGGGGGTGTCTCTGCATTAGCTTCCTGCTGCAAGCAGTTTAGGGGGTGTGTTGAAATATATTTCTTATATAAACTGCTTGTAGCAGTAGTTAGTGTAGTGTTACATTGGTGGTGCACCTCATTCCCTTGTCCCTTGCACTATATCTTGTACCTTTGCTCATTAATGAACACCTTTCTCCTTTGCTTGAGATTTCTCTCCTTCACCTAGCCTAAACCCTAGGCTAGTGGCTCTAGCCATATCTACTATTCTAACAAGTACACTCACGGAGAACTCTGAAATTTCAGAGATAAACTAAAAAAAACTCTGAAACTTTCAGAGTTGAGGCCCAAAAAACCCTGAATTTTTCAGAGTACACTCTACAAAAATTCTGAAATCTCAGAGTTTTTCATGCAAATCAGGCAAAAAAGTCTGACTTCTGAGGGCCTGCCCTGGACAGCCAGATTCGCAGTATAGAATGTTTTAGTTTCAAATAAACAAAGAAAAAGTACATGGAAAACCCCCTTACAAGGGAATGTTATAGTCACAGTAGGCTTCAATGTGCCTAGAACCAAAGATAGAGTGCGCAGTCAGGTTTCTGCACAGCGGCTTCAAACGATCATAGCGATCTGGTCACAGCTCCAATTGACCTCATTCAACTTGGATCTGGAGCGTCTTAACGTGCCCTACAATAGGCAATTTAGATCGCACGATTTCATCAAGAATTGACGACACAGCGTCAGATTGAACGAACGGCACTATGGCAGCAACATAGTCTTAGAACACAATTACGAACAACTAGGAAGAGTTACGAGTTGGGAAGGACTCCCAGCTCCTACAAACCCCAAGAACCGAGCTACAGTGATGGGGAACAGTGCCACACTGTTCCCAACCAAGAAGGGTCTCGAAACTACCCTTCACAAGGGCCTACACCAACTTGAATGTTACACTACACTTTGTAATGTAACTATCTTCAATATCTTGGGGTGTACCCTTTTGGCGAGCTTCGAAATCACTTGAAGCTTGAACCAAGGCTCGGGTTCTTCATCACAAAACTCATCATTGAGTTCTTGATGGGTCTGCTGCACACACCTGCGACACGCCGAACGTTCGACACAGGACAAAATAGAAACCGCGCACGGGACACGCGACAAAATAGAAACCGCGCGCGAGACACAAATGACCGCATTAACACGCGACTAGCGATAACTCGCTATAGACTTGACACACACACTCGACATCATGACCCATCATTCACACACCATTATAAGCATGAAACATATATCTGATTCATGCACTCATACCACTCCATGCACACACGCATGCACGCACACGCACATGGACAACAAGCCGAGTGCAAACCGTAGGTTGCACCAACAGGAAAATGTGGGGGTCTTATATTTATCACCCCCCCAAAAGGGGGGCATAACGAAATAGAGGTTTTATAAAGTCCCCCCCCCCCCGTATTAGGTACCCTGGGGTCTTGTTTTTTGGGGGGGTCTTCTATCCGGGGGATTACGGTACCTTGATAGTTGTACAGATAAGGGAAAATTATAAGAGTACATTCCGCTCAGGACATGTCACAAAAGAAAGTGCCCGAAACGTATTTGTTACCAATTGTGACACTTCGAAAGCAATGTTCGTGACCAGGGCCTCAGATTCATTTTTGCCTAGGCTGAACGGTCAGTGTTGTACAGAAAAAAAAAAAAAAAAACTGAAAAATCAGTGTCCTTGTTTAAAGCCAGGGTCTCAAGTAGGGCGTTTGGGGTCAACTGCAAAACGTTTGGCAGGAGTGGTTACTTTGTGACTCAAAACGAAAAGGGGGTTGTGTTGGAAGCACAGAAACCTACCTTGCGACCCGGAAAACACACCAAGCGACTGACGCACAAACCTAGAGGTCGCAAGCACACCCCGCCACTCCCACTCACAAATGCACACCACTCCAGAGGGACTGGACGTTGCCCCTGATGGATCTCACACCCACACTCCCGAACTTCCACCCAGCCTTACCTAGAGCAAAACTCCTCGCCGCCTAGGCGCGTTCCACTTCCTCGACAACGCTTCACAGCTAGGCTGGTTTTTAGGTAAGTTCTGGCTCTGGATCCTCGTTTTTCCTTTTCCTGCCTTGCTGCCCCCACTGCTCCCAACCGTTTACAGGCCCGCCCTGCTGCATAATCTCACGGACGAGGCAAAGGAAACGCGCCCTTTCATGAGCCTGCGCCAGCCCAGGTTTACAGCCAACCCTTTCTCGACACCTCGCAACCAGCTTTGCAGCTTTTCCAGTGCCCTGTTGACCTTTTCCTGTTTCAGTTTTCTGTTCCACCGCCTTTGGCTCCCCGCTTTCTTTTCCTCTTTACCAGTTCTTTTGCATCGTGCTGCCCTTGGTTCTTTGTGTTTTCTCGCCCTCTGTTTCTGCATCCCCCCTTTCCAACTGATCGTTCCCCCCCGTGCAACCTTCCAGCGCCAGGATCCCTCGATCCATCCTCTCGCTTTCGGAACAATCTCGAACCCTCCCCCTGTGACACTTTTCTCCAGCCTGAGTCGCGTGGATGCACGCTCTATTTTCTTAGATTTCACGTCTTCCTTCATCGACGTGCGCTTGGCTGCCTTCCCTGCAGATATCGTTACACGCCCTCCGCCTCTCTTCTCCCACGCCATTACCAAGCTGACCTTTCGCTTCCTTATCTCTTCGTAGCTGAATGTTTTCCGCGCGACTCGAGATGCCGCTTAGGCTCCGAGTTTGCTCTATGGTATTGCAATGGCCTTTGCCTACGCACTCCACACCTCCTTTTCCCACCAGTCTACATCTGGACTCACCGTTTATATACTCTCCTGACGATTCAGCTTCCGTTAATCTCCACTCCAACCCACCTCATCCATGGCTGCTTGCCTCGTTCCCAACTTCCACGACGGTTTACTCCGTGGCGATTCCTATGTCACGCCACGTCGCAGCGCACGACTGCTCTCTGCGCCTCCTCCTCTGCCTCCCGCTCTGGCGCGATAGTTCCCTCCTTCCTCTCATATTTAATCGCCCAAGACCCATCCTTAGTCATTCCTCCAGCTGCTTTCATGGCCTCTCACCTCTTCTCTATGGACCACGCCATGGCTGACGACTCTCATGCCGCCGATGGCGAGGAGTTCCTCCTCGATGATTCCACGGACGAGATCCAACTTTCGGAGCTTGACGCTTCCAACCTCCCCGCTGCCAAGAAGGCATGCGTTGACGTTTCCAACGACAACTCCCCGGACTCTCCTGCTGCTGGCTCAGCCTCGCTTCCCGGCCCTTCCGAGCAGCAGCGTGCTCCTGGCCTGACCTCCACGATCCCGCGTGGATCTCAGGTCGCCACGGCGACCATCGCCTCTCTGCCCCGCTCTACACCCGCTGTCCCTGCCGCTGCTCCCTCCAGGCAGCAGAGTTCCCTTCTGGCCAGCCCCACCGCTGGGGCGGCCCTGCTGGTAGGCCCGGGTAAGCAGGCCCCTCCTCGCCCTCTTCGCCGCCCCCGCCTGGTGCAGGCTGGGCCTGCACTGCTGCCGCGCCGCCGCCGCGTGGTTGACTCTCTGCTCCTCCCGGAGGCGGGAGCTGAAGCAATCCGTGCAGATATCCTTCTCCGCTTGGGTGCGATGCTGAAAGGACATATGTTCGCAAGTGGGACAATTCCTTCTTACGATGCTACCTCCGGCGAGCCTCTTCGGGTGCCACGCCGCTCCTACGCCCGGCTGCTCTTCTCATGGCCTTCTGCTGACGATGCCGTCTCCTTCCGCAACCTCTTCCCGCTCACGCTCCGGCTGGCAAATTCTCGTTCGGTCCTCCTCGAGGTCTTCGAAGACCCTGACCCCGAGTTTACTGCTGCTAAGGCAGCTGGCGCCACCACACTGTCTATCCGCAACGTTCCCACTGATTACGAGCCGGAGGATAACAAAGCCTACCTCCTCGCGGCAACCACGGATGATGGCCTGCCATGGCTGAGCGATCTCCAGCACCTCCACCAGGTGAAGGACCCGAACGAAGGGGTGGCCTTCACCATTCTCGATGGCATCCCGATTCCCTCTGCCGACGACCCCCACTTCCAGTGCATTCCGGCTGCCATCTCCCTGAACGACGGTGGTCCGCCTATGCTGCTGAACTTCTCATCCCACGCGTGTCGTTACTGTGCCAAGAATCACCGTGACGCGGATCACGCGTCATTTGCGGCGCGCCGCCGGCAGCGCCTCAACAACAGGGCTGTCATCTCCGTCGCTCAGCTCCAGCAGACCAATGGTATGCGGCTTGCCCCTCCTTGCACCCCAGCCGCCCTATGTGGTGGTATTCTCCTTTCTGCCTTGTTTCCCCCCCTACTCATCACCCACCCCGCTGGCCATTCACTGTTCACGTGCTGGTCTCTACCCTTATGTTTCCTCCTTGCCTTATTGGTCGTTCCGCCCCTGCCATCCCCCTTTCGCTCTTATGTTTACCCCCCGTATACCTATGCCAGATCTCCTCATCCGTCCCTTCTTGATACTTTTTATGCCACTCCAGCCATATAATTCCTCCCCTCTTCTCGGTGTTGATTGTACATATGTCTCACCATTCCCCTCAGTCCTTCCTATGCTGCCGGGTTTGCTTTTGCCCCTACAACTGCCCCCTTTTCGGGCAATTTCTCCCTATCTGGGCACCCTCTCCACCCTTCTTGTTACTTGTTGCACATTTGCCCATCTCACCCTATTTCAGCCTTGTGTTTATGTCACACTTTCTCCGCTTCCTTTCTATCCCCTTTTCTCTTTTTACCCTGCCTTTCCTGCCTCACGCTATACCTACTCGACCTTGGTCTGGATCTCCGACCTCACTTCATATCGTCTTCTCCCGCTCTTTCCCCCCTCGCCTGGGATATGCTATCTTGCCAAGGGGGGACCCTCTTACGCAGCCGTATACCCTCTCCCCTCCTCCCCCCCCTCTCTCCTCGTTGCTTGCTCCTATTCGTCCGCATCCATGAAGGTGTTGCCCTATGTTATTTGCCTTCTGCTCGTCCCTCACTTGTGTCTTCCGATTCCTACACTTTCACCCCCTCCCCCTTGGCTGCTCTACCCGTTCCAGCCTGTCACTTATCTTCATGGCTTTTCACAACCTGGTCTGCTCTGTTTTTTCCTCTTCAGGCCAGATTCTTGGCACCCAGTCCGCCCCTACGGCAGTTCGCAACGATCCTGGGCTTCTGCTCATCGGCCTGGACTCCGAAGTGGAGCCTTGGACCTGCGTTCTGTGCGACTTTCAGTGTGGTCACGCGCTCGGCAGTGCGATGGCACATATCGCTTCCCCCACCCACTCGGCCCGCCTGCGGGCCACCTCCCACCTCCCGGCTGCCAAGGACAAGTACAACACCTGGCACGCCATGACGCTGCTCGAGAATCCACCCTTCTCATCACTATGGCTGCATTTGCGTTCTGATGTCGTTCTCACTGCTGTCACTTGTGTCACCTATTTTAAATAATGCGAACCAGAGGCATTGGCCTGCCTCTCGCACTAAACATTTCTCCCCTCGTGCGTGTTACCCCGGTGGATCCGTGTTCCTTCAAACGCGGGGGGTCATCACATCTAGTAAATGAGAACCTACATCCGGTTGCTAACACTCAATGTTAATGGGATCAACCACGCATATAAAATGAACTGCCTAAAACAATGGATCTCTTCCCAGTTCGTTAAGATAGATATTCTCGTTCTTGTTGACACACGACTGACTGTAAACATCCCTAAGCTCGCCCTTACTCTTCGCCCCACGGCTGCCGCCCACGCTCCCTCCTTCACGACCTCAGCGCACCCCGCACCCGGTGGGATTTCCATCTTGATTTTTAACAAGGCTATCACTATCTCCTCGCACGCACCCTCTCTTGATGGTAGACTTCTCTCGGTCCACCTGAATTATTTACATGAACAAATACGCCTAATTGCACTCTACGCCCATACAGCGACTATCCCACGTCGCATGTGGTGGCGGTCCGTTCTCTCACCAGCCCTAGATGACCCTTCCTCTGCTGCTTTCACTATCGTCACGGGCGATTTCAACTCGGTTGACAATGCTCACGATCGCAATCGCCCACTGCATGGGCATGAACGCAGCGAAGCAACTTTGTTTTCTACCCTCATGGCACATCACTCCCTCGCCGATTCCTTCCGCCTCCTCCACCCCACTGTCACACTTTTCTCCTTTTTCAGCCGACGCCGATCCACCGCCTCCCCTTCAGCACCCCCTCCTGCAGCCCGCCTTTATCGCACCTATATATCCCGTGCGGCGCAACACCGCCTCTCTGCCACTCCATACGTTCTGACTCCCTCTGGAGTTTCAGATCATGCCTTGGCCCCAATTTGCTCACTCTTGTTTGATAATCCAGCGATCGCCCCAAGACCTTGGCGCCTCAGCACGTCCCTTTTATGCCGACCTAAGCTCCCTCGCATCATCGATGAATATCTTACTTGTCAGAATGAACAGGCAGGAATGAGGAACTAGAAAGGATGGTGAGTACAAATATGAAACCCTAATGTTGTGACCCCCCTATAGGCTAACCCACTACAGCCTACAACACATATAATGTTTGACACACCCCCATAGGCAAAGTGGGGGAGACCTAGGGGTCACAAGACCAGTCAAGGCAAAGCAAGGCAACAACAAGCTCAGGGTGGATCTCAAGGATTCCACACAAATTCCGAGCACAAGCTAGTGGTTACAAGACCAGTTCACATGCAAGTTTATAACAGAGCAAGAGATACAGTGATCACAACCTAGCAAGAGTAAACATGCAGGTATAGATATATATAGTGATCACAGTACAAGCAAAGTCAAGAGGTAAGCAAGTGAGGTCCAGTAGGCACAAGGCCTAGTAGAGTGCAGAAGCGCTGATGGTCACGAGGCTGAAGCGCCTTGGTGAACACATCAGCAGTGTTGGCCTCAGTGGCCACGTAGCGAATACAAAGCTGACCGCGCTGCTGCAGCTCTCGAGCAAGGAAGTACCGCAGGGCGATGTGCTTCGTTCTGTGCTCCAGTCTGTGCTCCTCACACAAGGCAATGGCAGCCTTGTTGTCGACGTACAGTACTGGAGGAGAACGAGGCCGCTCTCCGAGGTCGGTCAGCAGGTAGGTCAGCCAGCGTAACTCCTGGGCAGCCATGGCTGTAGCGTAGATCTCAGCCTCGCAACTGGAGCCGAGAACAGAAGAAGAGCGTGTAGAGCGCCAAGAAACTGAGCCAGAGCCAAGGCTGAAGGTGTAACCCTGAGACGACCGCTGAGTGGCCTGGTCGTCTGCCCAAGAAGCGTCTGAGTGCCCTGTGAGAACAACTCGGTCTCGCCCTCCAAGCACAAGCCCCATGCCCGACGTACTGCACAAGTAGCGCAACACCCTCTTAGCGGCATCCATGTGCTCCTTCCTGTGACGGCCAGGAGCGACATAGCGTGCAAGGATGCTAAGAGGGTATGCAAGGTCAGGTCGAGTGCAGGTCATCAGGTACATGAGGCAGCCCACAAGCTCTGGATACGGGCCACTCGGCTCTACGGACTCATCCGAAGGCAGAGCTGAGAGCGAGTGACCGGTAGGCAGAGGAGTGGACTGAGGCGAGGAGTACGTGAAGCGGAAGCGCTGGAGAACCTGCTGCACCATGTGTGACTGAGTCAGGGTGATGGTGCGCCGTGCTCTGTCCCGGGTGATCCGCAAGCCAAGATAGCTTGTCAGCTCACCCAGGTCTGTGCACGTGTGTCTCCTCTGCAGCTCCGACTTCACGTAGGCGAGTCCTGCAGTGTCAGCAGTGGCAAAGACCAAGTCGTCGACGTACAAGAGGATGTAGAACGGCGGCAGCGAAGTGTCGGTGCGCAGGAACAGTGACGGGTCAGCTGTAGAAGGCGCGAACCCAAGAGCCGCAAGTGTAGTCCTCAGTGTGTCGTGCCACTCACGCGGAGCCTGGCGGAGACCGTAGACCGGCCGCTGAAGCCTCCACTGGGTACCAGGAGGAAACGACCCAGTGAAGCCAGGTGGGCGGCGCAGCCAGATCTCCTCGTGCAGGCTGCCCTGCAAGAAAGCAGTGCTGAAGTCAAGTGAGTGAAGCTCGTAGTCGCGGTGAGCGGCTATGTGCAGCAGCACCCGAAGAGTAGTCATCTTCGGGGTGGGGGAGAAGGTCTGGAAGAAGTCAACTCCCTCTCGCTGACTGAAGCCTCGAGCCACGTAACGCGCCTTGAAGACAGGCGGAGAACCCGGCGGCCGCTTCACCCTGAAAATCCACATGCCACTGACGATGTTCGCCCCAGGAGGGGGAACCTCGTCGACGTAGGTGCGTGTGGACTTCCAGGAAGCCATCTCGGCGTCCATGGCTGTCTGCCACTGAGAGGAGTAGGGACCCGCCATCGCCTCAGCGTAAGTGCGCGGGGTCGGGATGTCTGGTGCATCCGGGTCTCCCTCAGGGGCAACTAGCAAGGACACGAGACGGGGCAAAGCAGCAGCAAGACACTGGAACTCCTCCTGTCTGTCCTCAAGGACGTCCGTGCCAAGAGCACACTCACCCCCGACGGACGGAGGACAGACAGACTCAGACTCAGACTCAGCAACAAGGCTAGCAGCGTAGTCTAGACGACAGGCAGCAGCAAAGTCAACCAACTCAGCGACCAGAGCAGACGCAGCCGAGGACTCAAAGGTAGGGTCAGTGACAACAGTAGCGAGGAGACGCGTGATAGTAGGGTGCTCAGCACGATACCGGTCAGACTCAGGGTCCGGAACGTCAGGCAAAGAGGATGCAGGAGGAGACGGTAGAGGGACACGCTGAGGAGCAGTAGAGGGACGCAGAGTCATGTAGTGAGTGCCTGGGACAGGAGGAGGACGCTCACGACGGACACGACTACCAGTGCGAGCAGGACGAACAGGCGACGCAGGACGAGACTCAGGCTCACGACGCTCTGTAAGACCTCCTGTGGGACCAGTGTAAGGAGAGGGAGCAGGGAGAGGCGAGGTAGGCGGTAACTGTGACTGCGGCTGGACAGGCGGAGGACACTCGACGGAGGGAGGAGGACAAGGAGGAGGAGCCTGCCCAAGAACCTGCTGAAGGAGCGGTACGAAGTACGGTCGCGGCCGCGCAGCGTCTCCAGAAGCAGAGGAGACTCCAGCGGCCGGGTCCTCAGTACCAGTAGGAGCTCCAGCGTCCGGGTCCACAGCACCAGCAGCAGCTCCACCGGCCGGGTCCTCAGCACCAGTAGTAGCTCCAACGTCCGAGTCCTCAGCACCAGCAGCAGCTCCACCAGGCGGGTCCGCAGCACCAGCAGCAGCTCCAACGTCCGGGTCCTCAGCACCAGCAGCAGCGCCACCCCCAGGGTCCGCAGCACCAGGAGCACCACTCCGAAGACTGCAGCGCCGTGTGTACCACTCGCGGATCTGCTGAATGGGGGGGAGCTCCTGGGTAGGAGGGGAAGTACCGGGACGAGCTCCAGCAGCACCTCTCCGGAGGCGGCAGTACTCGAGGTACCTCTCCTGCAGCTGCTGGGAGGAGAGGGCTCCTCCAGGTGTAGCACGCTCAGGCTCAGCACCCCCAGACTCAGCACCCCCAGACTCAGCACCCCCAGGCTCAGCACCTCCAGGCTCCGCACCTCCAGGCTCCGCACCTCCTGGCTCAGCACCCCCAGGCTCCGCACCCCCAGACTCAGCACTCCCAGGCTCAGCACCCCTAGACGCAGCACCCCCAGGCTCCGCACCCCCAGACGCAGCACCCCCAGGCTCAGCACCCCTAGACGCAGGACGAGAGTCAACAGCTACCTCGACAGGCTCACCCGGATCTACCTGGGACACACCTGAGGGAGCGGCACCCTGAGGGGGGAGGGGGTCTGGTACCTCTGCACCTGGAGCGAGGAAGAGAGGCGGGGGGGGGAGCGGGGCAGTGCGGTAGGGGAAGAGGCGGTAGTAGGGGACGGACTCGTCAAAAGTGACGTCCTGAGAGGCCAGGACACGCCGCGAGGTGGGGTGGTAGAACTGCCAACCAGGGGCGTCCGGGACAAAGCCAAGGAAGACGCAGGGGACAGCGCGACGGGAGAGCTTGTCCGCGGACGTGTCGCGGACAAAAGCTCGGGATCCCCAGACCCGAAAACGCGACGCATCGCCAGCCTCTCCCGTCCAACGCAGTGTCGGGGAAGTCTCGGGCAAGGAGACACGGGCCAGAGGTTGAGCTGATGCGCAGCGTATCGGACTGCAAACGGCCACAGAAAGTGGGGGGCAGCCGCATGAACCAAGGAGGTACGAGCAACCTCCATGACCAAGCCAATGCGGCGCTCAGCAACCCCATTCTGCTGTGGAGAGGCCGGAAGCGTGAACGACTGCTCAATGCCCTCCTGCTGATAGAAGGCCTCCAAGAGGCCAGAGGAAAACTCTCCACCTCTGTCAGAGTGCAGACGCAGGACAGGGAAGTCGGAGCGGAAACGCTCACTGAGCTGAAGACGAGATCTGCGGATCCAAGGGATCAAGACATCAGGG